CGTGTTTAAATATGGGTTCATATGGACATGAGCAGAGCTAGCCCTACTCTGCCTCCTGGGCATACACCGAGCATCCATCCCAAACACCTGGAGATATCACCATCTCCTCGGGGTACCACTTACCCACCAGGAGGGGAAAAACTCACTGAGGGAAAAATCAACTGTCTCTGTGCTTCAGAGCAAAAGAAAGTCCACAGGATCAGAGAATAGAAGTGAAGACGTTCTTTCAGGGACAATCAAGGATGTCAGGATTCAGGCCTGTGGCTCAGTGGGTAGAGCACTCACCTGGCATGCACAAAGCCCTGGGTTCTATTCCCAGGACCACTAACCTGGGCATGGTGGTGCACACCTGTAGTCTTGACACTTAGAACATAGAGGCAGAAGGATAATATGTTCAAAGTCATCCTTGGCTTACGTAGTACATTCTGGCTTACCTGAAACACTGTCTTTAAAATAAACCAAAAATAAAATAAAATAAGACGGGAAATATCAGCTATAACCACTAAGGGGGAATGGTTTCCTTCCATAGTCATCCACTTGGCAGAAAGGGAAAATGATCTATAAAAGTAGGGACGAGCTACAGGGTCTGCATCTGGCTCTTTTAGCAGATGAACCAAGGCATTTCAACCAGATCTGAGAGTCGCTTAGACTGTCAGTGTGGTGGTTTCAATAAGAAGGGCTCCCAGAGGGTCATATATTTGAATGCTTGGTTATGGGGGAGTGGCACTGTTTGAGAAGGATCAGGAGGTGTGGCCTTGTTGAGGAAGTGCGTCACTGGGGGGTGGGCCTTGAGGTTTTAGAAGCCCCTGCCAGGCTCAGCCTCTCTCTCTCTCTCTCTCTCTCTCTCTCTCTCTCTCTCTCTTCAGATCAGGATGAGTTCTCAGCTGCTGCTCCAACACTACACTTGCCTGCTGCCAGGGTCCACCATGACAATAAGGACGAAGCCTCTGAAACTGTAAGCCAGCCCTTAATTAAATGCTTCCTTTTCTAAGAATGGCCTTGGTCATGGTGTCTCTTCACAGCGATAGAACACTGGCTAAGACAACCAGGAAAGTCTAACGAGCGCACCTCCTACTGTGCACAGACACATCGGTCTTATACACACGTCCCAACTGTGTGAATCAGCGGATTCACCCAAGTGTTATTTAGATAACAGGTAACTTGAAAAGAACATGACCACCCATGTTGGCGGTAATTTAACCAGAAGCGGCAGATTAATGATTCCCGAGGGAAGGGTTGAATATAATGTGCCAATGAGGTGGCTTAGAATAAAACTAGGAAATGGAGGCTGGCTCATGACAGTCATTGCTCTGGGGTGACACTGGGAAATGCCACAGCCCAGAAAGGAGGAGATGAAATTTAAACACGTCAAAAGGGACAATAACTGTGAGCGCTTCTATCCTGTGTCCCAGGTCCCACATGGAGGAAGGAAGCCTGTGGGGAGGAAGGGTTGACCCGGAGCTTACATGTTAGTGGTGATGTGGTTCTGAGAGAAGAACAGGGGGCATCGAGGGGAAGGGCAAAGGACCGAAGCCAGTCCTGTGGAGTCACTGCCAGACCCTCTGTGCCCAGGATGTCTCCTGAGTGAAGGGATGACAGACTCCGAGGTCCAGCTTTGGGCATGCGCCACCCTTATATGTTCCTTGATAATTTTATTGGTTTGCAGTATTTCATTGGATAAAGGAAGGAGGGAGGGAGCCAGACAGCCTGGCTTCCAGTCCTTGCTCTCCTCATGATTGTGACCTTTTTCTGAGTCTCTATTACTTTTTTCTGTTATGGGTCCAGTATGTCCTTTTACAAGAACTCAATAGCTGTGGGGAGTGACCTGGGAGATGGTTCAGTGGGCAAAGTGCTTGAAGTCCAGCTACGAGGACTGGAGTTCAGATCCTCAAACCCCAAGCAAATGCAAGATAGGTGTGGTTACCCACCTGTAATTCAAGTTCCTGAAGGCAAAGACAGGCGACCCCCAGAGCAAGCTGGGCAATGAGACTAGCCATATCAGTGAGCTCGGGGTTTGACTGAGAGACTCTGCCTCAAAGAATAATGTGGAAGAGTGATTCGTGATGACTATTGACACCAGCTTTGACCCTACACACACACACACACATACACACACACGCACAGATGGGCATCCCATCACACACATATGTGCACCAACATATCACACACACACACGATTGTCACACATCCAGGAAAGGGAAGAAGGTTGAGGGTGGGGCTGATGAATACTCGTGAATCAGACAGAGGGACAATGACACTGCATGTTTAAGTTCCAATTATCAGCCCCCTACCTTGTCTTATTGCCATTACTCCAATGTCCACTTGCCTCGGAGCCTCTGAGAGGCCCGGATATCAGCATCACATCAATCCCTTCTCATCACTCTGATGGCCAGCGGAGATGGGCGATAGCCACTGTCTCTGTCGCCTTGCCTACCTGGGAAGACAATGCGTCTTTGCACTCGTGTCTGTGTCCAGAGTATGTGGGTCACAGTAGGTGACGGAGTAGACATTTGTCCCACTGGAGAATGAAAATACAAACACAGCCAGCCATCAGGGTGGCCCCAGGAAGTAAACCTCTCTACGCTTCCCAGCTGACAGGAAGTGCAGCCCAGGAGCCAAAAGCACTCAAATGCATGCTTTGAGAGGGGCCTGGGAATGTGGCTAAGAAGGCACATACAACCACCATGTAGGAAAGTTGTGATTCTGTTCTTGTCGGGCTAGCCGGTGCCAAGTTCTAGTCAAGGGAATTCCCAGTCAATGTGCTTCATTCTTGGGGTCTCATAGTCTTGTGGGGGAGAAAAGACCTTTCAGCACAGTTTAACGTGAGGGATGGTTAGCGAGTCCACAACCTCTCTGTTTTTATGAGGCCATTTTCTACTGTGTGTGTGTGTGTGTGTGCGTGTGTGTCTGTGTGTCTGTGTATCTGTGTGTGTGGCCAACAGACAGGGAGAACTACTATCTGTCCACAGTGTGTGTGTGTGTGTGTGTGTGTGTGTGTGTGTGTGCGTGCATGCATGCAGTGTGCTCAAGACAGAAAACGGGATGGGTCTGCATCCTGACTACGCAGGGAGACACATTGGGTAACTGAACTCAGTGTTTACCCTGTGTCCCCTGAAATGATTGCTCTGGTATCTTCCAGCAGGATCAAGAAAATGCCAGCAGCTGGTGAGTGGTGGTGCACGCTTTTAATCCCAGCACTCTGGAGGCAGAGGCAGGCGGATCTCTGTGAGTTTGAGGCCACCCTGCCCTACAAGAGCTAGTTCCAGGACAGACTCCAAAGCTACACTGAGAAACCTTGTCTCAAAAAATAAATAAATAAAAATAAATAAATAAATAAATAGAAAGAAAGGGACAGAGGGAGAGAGAGAAAAGAGAGAAAAGAGAGAGAAGTAAAGAAAGAAAATAAATGTCTGCATGGGTACATTGAGAATGGGAATGAGAGGCCTAGGAGAAAATCCCAGAGAAGACAATGAAACCCTTCCTTCTGCTATCTTGGACCACCTTAATGGAGACTGAAAAATGTCAATGTGGTTCACTGCAGCTGAGACCGAGGGCCTAGGTCACTTTGGGAAATTCTTATCCTGTGTATTTAAAGAGTGTTTTCTCCCTCCCTTCCTCCCTCCCTCCCTCCCTCCCTCCCTCCCTCCCTCCCTCCCTCCCTCCTTTCTTCCTTCCTTCCTTCCTTCCTTCCTTCCTTCCTCCCTCCCTCCCTCCCTCCCTCCTTTCTTCCTTCCTTCCTTCCTCCCTTCCTTCCTGCCTCCCTCCCTCCCTTCCTTTCTTACTTTCCTTCTTTCTTTTTTGTTTCTTTTTTCATTTTTTTTCCTCCGTGTAAGTGATAAATGTGTGACTGTGTTCACATGTGCACACATATATGTGTCATTTATGTGCATCTGTGTTCACATGTGTATATGTGTGTTACAGAGGCCGGAAGTAGAAACTGTATGTCCTCCCCCATCTCTTTCCTCCTCACCTTTTGACGTAGGGTCTCCCACTGAATGTGGAGCTCGAGACTGGGCTAGACCGACTGGCCAGTGAGGCTGGAGAGAGCCCTCTGTCTCCGTCCATGCCTCTCCTCTGTGCTGGGATGACAGGTGCACAGCATCACACCTACCTTTGACTTTTTTTTTTTTTTTTTTTTTTACCTTTGACTTCTTTAAAGAGTTCAGTGGACGGAACTCAGGTGAGCACCTTAACTGAGCCAGCTCATCTTCCCGCCCCCTTTTTATTTCCTTTATAAATTTTAAATAACATTTTATTAATTCTTTTAGGATTTTATACAGTTATTTTGATTATATTCCTCTTTCCCTCAACTCCTCATAGATCCATTCCACCTCTGAAACCATCCAACTTTGTGTCCTCTTAATAAAAAAAATACCACCAATGACATCCAGTTCGTGCTGCCCAAATATTCTTAGATGTGAGGATGCCAGGCCTTGGAGAGGGCGTGACTGACCTACCTAGGAACACACAAGCTCTCCCTCCACTGGCAAATAACCTTTTAAAAGACAAAATCTCACTCGGGACCATGCTTGGCAAGAACTCATAGCAAGCTTCCTGCTTCAGACTCCTGGGCACTATACAGACATGAACCAGCACACCAGGCTGTAGTTCTCTTTTTTTGTAATATATCAGAATGATATGTGCTGAAGATCGGTGCCCAAATGAACCTAAGGGAGCTCATTCTAAGTAGTACGTGATGTCAGAGTCAGGGAAGTGGGAGCCAAGGTTGATTGACAGGCCGCCTCTTGCCCCTCAGTGGGATAGAAAGTCACTGTGCGAGCCCTTGCCAGTGGTCTCTTAGCATCAGCACTAAGGTAGTTCACGGTGGCCTGAAGGAGCTCCTGGTCCTGCTTGTTTGTGTGTTGACTGCCAGCGCCTCTGCTCAGTCTTGTAGCACAGAAACAGTAATTGCCGCAATTCCGTTTTATTGAGCAGTTACAGTACTGCCTGTCAGCAGCCCAGCTGGTCTCTGTTCTCTAGGAGATCAGCATAAAAACAAGGGAAAGAGACTGAACTGTCGGCAGAGGTGTGAACAGGGCTTAGTGTGAGGACAAAGGAGAGAACTCTCTGTGCAGGAGAGGAAACCTAACAGGGCAGGTGAGATCTTGGCTGCCACTAGAACATTCCTTTGTGACACTGGTGAGGTTGACCAGATGCTGGTGAGCCTCAGACCTCATCAAGGGTCTCTGGGATACCCAGGGAGGATCAAGGGCTGGTGTCATGATGGACCTGTGTGCCCTGGAAAACTCCAAGCAGGAAGTCCAGCAGTAACTTTGGTTAGGATATGTAAATTCCAGAAACTTCTAAGCTGAGCCAAGCAAAGTGGGGAATTCCTGAGCCCACACCCAAATGGGAGAAGTGTTCAGAGGGCATAGCAGAGCTATAGTGCATGCTTGCCAGGGACAGAAGCTGCTGCTGTGTTCAGATGGTGTGTGTGTGTTTATGTGTGTGCATACGTGTGCGCCTGTGGGCATGCATGGATATTGGTGCTTGTCATTCAGCTCTATATGTGAATATATGTGGCTCTCTTCTTCTTAGTCCTGTACGTGCAAATTTACAGACCCATGTGTGTTCATGTGTGTGCATACGTGTGTGCCTCTGGGCATGCATGGATACTGGTGCTTGTCATTCAGCTCTATATGTGAGGTCTGAATTTATGTGACTTTCTTTTTCTTAGTCCTGTGTGTGCAGGTTTACAGACCCATGTGTGTTCACGGACATGTGGAGGCCAGATGTTGTCACGGGATGTCTTTCTCGAGCACTCTCCATCTTAGTTTTTGAGACGGGGTCTCTCTGGATCCAGAGCTTACCGGCTCGACTAGGTTAGCTGGTTGTGAAGCTCCAGGGTCTCCACATCCCCAGTGCTCTAGAGAGGCCTGTGGACAAACACTGGTTTATGTCCCCATTGTGGTTCTGGAACATTCAGAGATGTACTTAAAACTGTGTGTGAATAGTAACTTAAAAGGAGGGAATCAGTATTGTGATGGGTTGAGCAGGATGAGGGGTCCTATGAGGAGGTGGGTCCTGGGCATCCACTCTGAGGAGGTGCCCTGGGTACCGTTTATTGAGAACAAGAAGAAATTCTCTGGTTCCCGTTCCCCTCCCAGCACCAAGCCTAGGACTCCAGGTTTCCCAGCTCCATTATAGTCCAAGATGACTTGGACCGTATTCCCTGGGATCTTATCTCCTCCCATAATCCTTCCCTGTACCTCTCATCCTTGTGTTCACTGGCCCTGGCCAAGGACCTCCCAGAATTGCTGTCCCTAGTAAATATTTCAGCACTCTTGGAGATCAATGATGTATCATCGATGGGAAATTGGATGTAAATCATCCTGGCCTCCCTGTCACCCCAGAAATCAATGTTCACACATTAGGGCTGTGAGCTACTGAGGAGGTTCGGATGGAAGGCGCTTGGAGTCAAGGCGCCATACCTAAGTCCTGCCCTCTGTCCTTCCTGGGAGGAGGGTCTGAAGGGCAGCTGTCTGAGGAGGACTGAGGCTTCTAGGAGACCTGCTGAACGGAGCACAAGAAGCAAAACCTTCCATGGACAGCCAGCTCTGTTCTCACCTGAGTCCTTGGATGTCTTCAGGGGATGCAGGCAAGCCTGGAGCATAAGAGTTCTACTTCCTCTCTAACTGTCAGAAGCTAACCGGATGCTACCACCGCTGTTTGGGTACTGTGCCGTAAGCTTCCCAGCTGCGGACACTTTTCTGAGAGGTTGCTGAACCTTTTGGGCATGGTGAGGCGTCTAGCTGCCAGATGTAGGGCCGTTTCATGGGTCATAGCACCAGCATGTCCTAGCCTGAGGTACGTTTCTATTCTGCGGAGACTGAGGAGTCCTGGCCACACACTCCGGCGACTTTCAACTTTGCCGTGTGTTCTCCACTGTTGACGAATAAAACTTTCACAGACCGGGAGCCCGGACAAACCCTCCCCTCCTTTAGGCTTCTTCTGTCAAATTTTCTGTCACAGGAAATAGAAAAGTCACTCGTGTTAGTACCTGACACCACCTGGGTGTTGAAAGCCATTTACATAAACACACCCTTTGACCCTCAAATTCTGCCTCTCGGCTCGCACTAAGAGGCATGGAGGTTATAGTTTTGTTTGCAATGCACATAAATGATCTAAATAGTCCAAGAGAGGGCTATGGGTCAGATTATCTATGTGTTGCCTAGGAAATGAAACACCAAGTGGCTGCGGGCAGCTATCTGCAGACAGGGCGGCTCATTATGTATAATAAAAAGGCTTACGAAACGGTATCCACCGGATGGCCCTGCTGCAGGGACTGTGGCACTTGGCTTGGCTTAACAACCCCTCTTAGAAAGCTTAGGAACATATTCAAACATTCGCTCATTTGTAGTTTATATAATAGATCCATTATTTCCTCATCTGTGTACGTAGACTAATCTATATTATATACAGGCATAATTTTAGTCCTTGAATTTGTTTTGCAACAAGGTCTCTCTATGTAGCCCTGGCTATCCTGGAGCTCACCGTGTAGACCAGGCTGGCCTCAAACTCACAGAGCTCTGCCTGTCTCTGGCTGCCGAGTTTCAGATGAAAGGTGTGAGTTACCAAGGCCAGCCGTGCCTCAGTTTACCCATATAAAGTTTTCCGAGGTGGGTGACTAATACTAACACCATCCTTCATTTTGTGTATTTGAATTGGACACGGCTGGGAAGCACGGGCACTGTGTTAATGATGCTTACCCGTGGTAGGTTCACTCCTCTGTGTTTTTGTACAGTATACGATATTGCACAGATATTACCTATGGTCTCTCTCTCTTATGCCATCACAGTTATGATACGGAGTATAATATGTCAAACATACGTTTGTTGGTCTCCCGCTCTCTAGCTGTGGTTTCCACATGTAACATATATATATATGTTCCTTGATGTTTGATTTTTTTCCTTTTGGACACAATGTCTCACTGTATAGCCCAGGCTATATTTCAATGCCTGGCCGTCCTGCCTCAGCCTCCTAAGTGCTGGGCTCACTGTGACTATCTTGTTCCTGGCTTTATGCAATGACCTATTATCACCGACAAACCTAACTGGCCAAATTTAAAGATTCTCTCTTGAGCACAGCGAAAAGACACATAAACATGGGGGTCACCATGGAAAGGTAGACATGGTGAGGTCACCAGTGCACCCGCAGAGACAGTTGCCCATAGCAGATCAAGAAAATTACGTGTTACAAGGACACATTGACATACAACTGTACCCCTGAGCAGTGTGACCTGTCTACATGTACACCCCCAGGACCTCTATGCTACCCCACTTAAAGCCCCTACATTTTGATCCCAAGGCCCCTGTGTCCTGATCCCGAGGCCCCTGTCCTGTGTTAGCGATCTCCCACCATGTACTGTGTTCCCCCACACACACCATGTCCTAATCACAAGGCCACCTCCCAACGTGTCCAGATCATGAAGCTCCTACCTCTTACTGCCATGGCCCCTGCCCCTGTTCCTGCGACGTCAGGATCTAGCATGCCACCTCTCTGTGCAGACACCAGATGTGGTGGGAATTTGCAATAAGTTGGCAAAGAAAGCCCAGCTCTCCGTGTGCAGACCATGCATGGCCTGCAGGGACCACCCCGATGGCATCAATGGCAATGTAGTCAGGGATGCCTTCTGCCAGCCGTGAGGGCTCTCTGTGAACAGCCCAGGCACCCTCCAGCTTACACATGCCCGGGGCCTGGGCCCAGGGCAGCCTGTTTTGTTTCCTGCCTTAGGAGAGGACTGGGAAGCCCTGGAGCAGGAAGGGGGGTCAGCTCTTTGGACTTCTTATTTGTTAAAAGCTACCCGTTCCCACAAATCCCAAAATAGAGTCCCTGGCAGAGATGTGGACTCTGAAACACAGAGACAGCTGTGAAGAAATTTAGTGGGGGGGAGGGGGGAGAGGAGGAGGCCCAGAGCGTCTGGCTGGAGCTTCAGTGGGATTTCTGGGGCCCGTAGGCACGGAGGGGTGTTCTCGGGTACCTATCCCCTTGTCTCTGCAAGCATACCCTGATGTATCCATATTTGAGAATGTTCACACTGCTCAGAACATTCCAGAGACGCAGGGTGTTTCTTCCCATGGAACAAGGCTCTTCCTTCCCAGTCTCTGAAAGTTCTTCTCAGAGTCTAGCTTGAAGTCTCCATGAAGCAGTGTTTCCCTCCAAGGTCACTCAGCCTCTGGGAGCCTGAGGACACAAGTTCACACTGTTTCCAACTGAGCTATTCTGAACAGCTTCTCAAGGTTCATTTTCCAAACAGCCTCCCTGTTGAGGGGGCTGTGATGAGCATGGGGACCAACCAGACACTCCTCGCTTCACCCATGTGACAGATGGCAGCTTGGGAAGTGCCAAGTGCCGGGTCCCACGCGGCTAGGGACCAGCAAAACGGCTCAGCAGGTAAATAGGCTTGGGACCAAGACAGACAACCTGAGTTCAATCCCCAGGACCCACTTAACAGAAAGTGAGAACTGACTGCCGCATGGACCTTGACACACACACACACACACAACACAACACATCACTTAATAAATAAATGAATATAGTTTAAGAATACTGGCTCAGAATCTCACTCATGGTGGGCAGATCCATTAGGTCTCAAGGAAGAAGAGAGTTACAGAAAAGGAGGAGTCAGGAAAGAGCCTGTCTTACAGGCACAGGGACTGAGTTCAAGCCCGCAGAGCTCATGGGAAAGACAAACAAACAAGCGAAATCAGGCAGTGGGACTCTTGCCATCCCAGCGCCAGGTAGGAGGAGCTGGGCAGATCTCTGGTAAGCTCCAGGCCAGTGAGAGATCCTGACCCCCATCCCCAAGACTCAAGGTGGAGGGCTCCAGGAAGTGACATCATAGGCTATCCTCTGTCTCCAATGTCTGTGGACACAGGAGACATATAAACACACACACACACACCACACACACACACACACACACACACACACACACACACACACACAAGAAAGAAGTAAACTAGAGCTGGAGTCAGCCTGATTGTGGGTGTCACGGTCACTAGATGGCCCAGAAAAACAAAACAAAGCAAAGCAAGAAAACAGACCAGAGGGAGTTGAACCAAAACAGTGCACAGAGGTCAAAGCCCAGAGCAAAGGGCCTTCTTCACAGACAGCATCCCAGACTCCACCCCCAGCATCCCAGACTCTAGTCCCAGCATCCCACACTGCATGCACTCTCAGCATCCCACACTCCACTCCCAACATCCCACACTGCACTCCTAGCATTCCACACTGCACTCCCAGCATCCCATACTCCACTCCCAGCATCCCAAACTTCACTCCCAGCATCCCACACTCCACTCCCAGCATCCCAAACTTCACTCCCAGCATCTCACACTCCACTTCCAGACTCCAGACTCCACCCCCATCATCCCACACTCCACTCCCAGAATCACACACTCCACTCCCAGCATCCCACACTGCACTCCCAGCATCCCACACTGCACTCCCAGAATCCCACACTGCACTCCCAGTATCCCACACTGCACTCCCAGCATCCCACACTCCACTCCCAGCTGCCACAAGCAGCCTCGTTTTTTCCAGGTGAGAGTATGGCCAAGAGGACACCTCAGGTAGTTAGTGAGGTTGAACATAACTCATCCACATCTCGCTCCATACTGTTCCCAGGCACTGATTGTCTTCCACAAGAGGAAAGTCTAGGAGGGGGACCAACCAGCTGGAGGCTCAGATGGTAAAGGCCCCCAGTGGGGTGCTGAATGGAGGAGGATGGGGAAATGTGTGTTGAGCGCTGGTGGATGCCAGCCTCTCTGCCTCAGATTTGGGAAAACTGGACCAGAACCTTATCAACTTACTGTTCATAGCCTTCTAAGGAAAGAAGCCTTAATAAATGCTGGGTTTGGCTATGACCAGAGAAGGAGAGTGTCCCACCCGCAGCTGCACAGCGAGTGACTGGCAGAGACACCCAAGTCTGTCTCCTCCTCCTCCTCCTCCTCCTCCTCCTCCTCCTCCTCCTCCTCTCCTTCTCCTTCTCTTCCTTCTACCTCCTCCTCTTCCTTCTCCTCCTCTTCCTCCTTCTTCCTTCCTTCCTTCTTTCCTTTTTTTCTTTTTTCTTTTAAAGCGTAGCTGAGGATATAAAGAGTTGCCTTTGCTTGGGGTGGGGGTGGGGGGTGCTCTCTGTTTCCCTCTGGCTTTGTGCTCAGGAAGTTGCCTCCCTCCTCAGGGCTGGGAAGCCTTCTGTCGCTCTGTTCCCAGCCAGGGAACACTCTGTCTTTAGCCCTAGTTTTGAGCAGGGCCAAACTTTTGCAGAGGAGCAGAGTATGCATGGCCAGGCTACACAGCCTCACGTGGCTATGTGGGTTCCTTTCTCGCAGAATGTCAGGGTGACAGAGACCAGCCCAGGCCTGGCATGCCTGGACACTGTCTGCCCAGGACACCCCCTTGGGTAGAGCTCTGGTAACACAGGCAGCAACAGGGGCTGGCCATTGGCGGGCAGCTGGGTGACATCCTCTACTGCCACCTTCCTCTCAGAAAGCCTCCTGCTTCCCCTTTCTCTGTCCCAGGCAGGGTCCCTCTCAGCTCCTTTACAGCTATGGAAGCCAAAGCGCCGAGATATCGAGGTATTTTCCCCATGACTCGCTGTTTAAAACGCCAGAATCATCACAGTGGGAACATTTTCTTTTTCCTGCTCCATGCCATTGGAGAGAAATCAGCAGCCAGTCAAACAGCACAGAGGTCATTTTGCCCTGCCCCTCTTTGGTAAGCTTGATATAATATATGCAAATGTATATAAAGCATTGGTTTTTCTGAAGCCTAAATAAAGTTCTCCAGAAAACTCCATACCAGGGTTTCCTAAACCCCAGGCATTTAAAGACCAATTACCAGCTCATAAAGTTCACTTTATGACTTACTAATAGTTTTTATCATTTATTATTTTACCCAAATAAACACCTAAAAAAGAAAAAAAATAGGATCACTATTGTATTGGAAACCATGGTGACTTAGCACTAATAGGAATGATGTCTACAGGTAATTGTAGGAAAAGCCTATAAGGTGGCTGAGTGCACACTGAGGCTCTTGGGTGGGTTCTGCTGGCCTCAGGATGTGCAGGATCAGACAGATTCTGCCTGGATAGCAGCATGAGCTTTCCTCTGGCTTAGGAACCTTAAAATTCAATAGGAAGGAAATGTAGTCACACGGTGTACCCCTTTGGGGTCATTATTCTGAATTCCCAGTTCACCAGTACTAACCCATTTTGGTAGAGTAAGAGAGAGAGAGTAGGAGAAAGGAAGAGAGGGAAGGAGGACAGGGAGGGAGGGAGGAAGGGAAGGAGGGAAGGAGGAAAGGGAGGGAGGGAGGAGGGAAGGAGGGAAGGAGGAGGAGGAAAGGGAGGGAGGGAGGAGGGAAGGAGGAAAGAAGGGAAGAAGGGAGGAATGGAGGAAGGGAGGGAGGGAAGGAGGAAGGAAGAGAGGGAAGGAAGAAGGAGGGAAAGGCAGGTCCTTGGATCATCAAAAGCAGTGGTTCTCAACCTTCCTAACGCTGTGATCCTTTAATATGGTTCCTTCCTCATGCTATGGTGACCTACCCCAAACCATAAAATTACTTTGTTGCTACCTCATAGCTGTAATTTTCTTCCTTTTATGAATTGTGATGTAAATATCTGATATGCAGGATATCTGGTATGCAAACCAGCCCTGTTGGGGCTCGTGACCCACAGATTGAGAACCGCTAATAAAGCATTTCTTGACTGATGCCCAGTTTGTTCAGAAGTCCTGTCCCGCCTTAGACATAGACGACCGGCTTTGGAAGTACCCAGTCTTGGTCCCCTATTGCTTCACCCTGGCTTCCAGATCTCTGCTGGCAACCATCACATACGATTAACAGATGTTTAAGGTTCATCCCTGCCCCCTCCGTTAGAGATGTAGTCATTCTCTTATTGTTGGTGCATGTGCACACAGCACACCCAGGGAGGCCAGAGGCCAGCTTTAGGAGATGCCGTCTTCCTCTACCGTGTGCTTCCTGGGTGTCGAACTCAGGCGGTCATGCCTGGTGGCGAGCACCTTTACCCACTGAGCCATCATGCTGGCCCCACTTTTCTTTTTTTTCCGCCTAGACATGTTCAAACCTTTGTTTCTCTTTCCAGTTTCATTTCCTGGCCAATGGGAAAAGATCTCGTCAAGACATCTGTTCCCTACAAGGTTCTGTCTGCTGGTGAACCCAGGAGGTATTAGCAGCCGGCCTGGGGCTGACGCTCTAGGTTGCTGGCTTCTCCTTCTGTCAGGCCTGGTCTCTTGCCCTTTGCTAACTTCTTTGATCCTTTTACTTTGTAAAATAGTCCCACAACACCAGTGGGTCTCCTATGACTTTAACCTTGCAACCCAGTTGGCTCTTGTAAAAAAGTGGGGGTGGGAGGCCAGAAGGAGGCCAGGCGAGCAGGCACACAGACACACACCGTGTCCAGAGCTGCCCTGGCTCTGCTCCGTTAATGGTTCCAGGACTCTCACAATGAAAAAAAAAAGGAACAAATGACAAATAAAAGCCTTTTTTTACAAGATGGCAGGGCTGTGTGCAGGTTCTGACTTCATGAGGGGCAGTAAACACACTTCCTTCCAGATCTGGCTTTCTGTAACTGGCCGGCTGCTTCTCTCTCCCCTCTCCCTCTTTCATCTTTGCCAAGTTTCCCTTCCTTCCCCAGCCCCAAACCCAGCCCCTGCCGCTCATCTTATC